GATTCTGGAAAGATGGGCTCGCACCAGCTTCGGCACTGACCCTGTCAAAAGCAAAGGCTCCTAGAGGGTAAACAGAAAAACAGCAGAGGTCAAGATCTAGAGATGGGCACACACAAAGTCCTGGACGCATTCAGGAAAACATGGACTCCCCACTTCTCAGGATCTTGGTGACATGAGCCTCTACCCAGTTGGGGTTGGGTCCCAAACAGCTCCCCTGAGGTCAGAACTAGGCGGGGGATCTAAACAGCTCACCTGGGTAGGGCTGGGCATTCAGGGCTCATAGTACTGCCTCTGTTTTTCAGAGAGCACCATTCTGAGGGCGGCGGATGGACAAGTTCTGACACTGGGGAGTACATGTCCTATAGGGGCTGAGAGAAAGCCCTGGAAAAGGGCACTCTGCGGGAAACAAAGTGGGGGTCACACCATCACTGCCCTGCTCTGGTCAACTTGTGCCTTTCCTTAACTCTGAGTCCACTGGAAGCTGTGAGTAAGCGGCTGGCCATCCTGGAGAACACGATCGTCTAAGGGCACCTGTCTCCGCTGCGGCTTCCCCATCTTCCCACCCCAAGCACAGCTCACAGAGTCCTGCGTGTGTCCCCTAGAGCCCCACGTTTAGTGTAGCTTTGCCTCTTAGTGAGGGGTGTTTGGAAGGGGCAGGCCCCTGGGATGGCACCAAGCCTCTCCCTCCTCCACCAGCCTGCTAGCCCGGCGGGGGCAGGGCTGGGGTGTGTGTTTGAGTGTGTGTACTGGGGCTGCATGAGTGGGAGCATGCGTGTGTGCCTCGGGGCAGGGGTGTGTCTGCTCCAGTGCAATAGTGAGAACACAGGGGTGAGTGTGAGAGGGACTGCATTTGCATTTTTTCAATCAAAAGCTTAATATATTCCCATATTTTTTTAGTTAACCCTTTGTCAACTGCAAGTACTGTGACTCTCCTGTCTGATTTCTCTATTCCTCTTTGAAAAACAATTAAATGTGATTTAACTTAAGCACTAAATGGGCCCGAGGCAGTGTGGTTATTTGAGGAGCAGGAGAAAGGACAGATGAGGGTGGCAGGTGATGGGGGTGATTTCGGGACAGCAACGGCGGTCATAGCAGTGATGAGGGCAGCGGCTCCCAACTCCAAACCCACTCCCGTTTGTCCTGACTTTTCAGTTACATGTTTCTTTCTGTTTCTCATCTCATCCTCCCAGTAACCATACCCAGAACAGATGAGTCATCCCCATTTCACAGATGGGGAAGCCGAGCATCTGACTGATGAGATGACTTGCTCAGCACTGGGTCAGTTGGGGAGACAGGACTTGCATCCAAGACTCCAGGACATCAAAAGAAAAAGGCATTGGAGAAGAAGGGCAGTGGCTCCAGATGAGAGTTATTCATTCATTCATTCATTCATTCATTCATGCAGACAAAAATACTTACAGAGTACACAGCCCATGTCAGACAGTGGAGAGACGGTAGCCTATGAGACAGATACAGTCCCTGCCCTTAAGGAACTTACAGTTGAGCAGGGTGCCCTGTCACCCTCATGCAGCTGGAGGAAAAGAGAGTGGGTTTAGGTTGTACCAGGAGCCCGTGGGGTGAGTGTGTATGTGAGGCGATGGGAAGGGTCCCAGCCTGAGCCTGGGTTGGCCCAGGTACCCCTGTCGGAGCCCTCTCCATAGGTTCCGTGTGCATCAGAAGCTTCACCAAAATCCCTGACACAGATAACTGCAGCCCCCACCTCAGGGACAGCACAAGGGAAGGACTGCTGACCCCCAAATCCTCCTAACCCCACCCAGGGTCTGCCAGCCTCTCCCAGGCCCCTCCGGAGCAGCGCCCCTCCAAAAACTCAATCCTTCGCCTCCCAGAGGAGGCACTTGGGTGATTTTCTGAACTCATTCTTGTTTAATGGAGCATTTTAGTGTTACTACTAGATTCACACTTGAGAGCATGTAAAAGGCTTTTACAAGAAACTCAGACCATCCTGGAAGATCTTCCTTAGAGGCAGTTCAAGGAAGAGGAATAACACCACCAGCAACACCCAGGAGACACATACAACAGACAACCTCACAAGAGCGATGCAACAGTCACACGACACCCCCAGGACAGGGACCAGGCCACCGCTATGCACACTCCTGTGGTGACCGCTCAACCCACACTTCCCTTCTTCTGAGATGATCCCCCCTACCCCAAACACACAAAAGACAGAGGGCAGGGTGACACCATGCTGATGCAGTATGAACCTACTTCCTGGACTCAGCTGATTGGTTAGTGGGTGAACAGCTGACCCAAACTGGGCTAATCAGTTTCTTTCTTCAGGGAATTTGGACATGGGGACACTAGCTACCTGGCTGCGGGTCCTGGAGCTGGGAGGTCTCTATCTTCTTCCAGGTGCACTAAAAGGCAGAGGTTGGAGGCCGCCATCCTCAGGAAAGAGAAAAACAGCATTCGCTGGCTTGCTGATGACTTTCCAATCCAAGGGTGTTTCAATTATCTATTGCTGTATAACAAACTGCCCCAAAAGTTAGTGGCTTAAGACAACTTTCTATTATTGTCGCAATTCTGTGGATCAACCAGGCTCAGTTGGTAGTTCTTCTGCTTCATGTGGTGATGGCACAGTGCCCGCCCACACTTTGCCATTGTTTGGGTCTCAGCCAGGCTGAAACATCTAGCATGGCCAGCTCATGTGACTGCTGCCTTGGTAGAGATAGCTGCAAGTTGGGTCTCTCTCTCTGTCTCTCTGTCTCTGTCTCTGTCTCTGCCTCTCTCTCTCTCTGTCTCTCTGTCTCTCTCTCTCTCTCTCTCTCTGTCTCTCTCTCTCTCTCTCTCTCTCTCTCTCTCTCTCTCTCTCTCTCTCTCTCTCTCTCTCTCTCGATGTAGTCTCAGGGCCTTACCTTCTCTATGTGGTCTCTCCAGCAGGGGAATTGGACTTCTTAAATGGCAACTTAGGTCTCCCAAAACTTTGTCAAGTCTGAGCCCCAAATTGGCACTGAATTACTTTTACCGCATTTTATTGGTCAAAGCGGTTATAGGCCAGCTCAAATTCCAAGGGTGAGGAGATAAAGTCCACTTCTTCATGGAAATGGGGAGAGTGACAAAGACTTTGTGGCCATCTCTAACCCACTACAGGGAGTCTTTCACTGGTCCCCCCGATGGGGCCGGCCTCACTTCCTGCTTTGGGCATTCATGAGACAACTAGGAAACCTTCTTAGCAAAGTTAAACATGGCTGAGTCAGTTTCTGTCTCATGCAACATAAGAATCTTGGCTTAGCTGTCTTCTCACCTCCATGTCCCCCACCTTTGATGGTGGCCTTGATGTCCTGGTTCTTATCCTTCAGTTCTGGGAAGTGACGGGACCATCCTGGGTTCCAGCAGCACTCCTCAGCTACCCGATAACTTAGCAGGGCCTTTCGCCTCTTTGAGGCTCATAGTCTACATCCATGGAAAAGAAATACTGGCACCGCCTCGCAGGGGGTTGCAGGGTGCAAATGAGGTAATGCATGGGGAGCGCTCAGCACGGTGCCACACACACTTTGCATCCAAGGCAGAGCTAGCATCGCCGCTGCCATCTGGAGTGTAGTTTCCAGGCCTCAGGGACACACCCACACCTGTCAGTTCCTTAACACCTCCCTGGCTCCTAGCAGGCGCCAGTGTCCCTTGAGATGCTGCAGCCACCTGGCCTCCAGTGGCTGTGCCACCTGGAGCACCTGTTACCTGGTGGGAGGCCACCCACAGTGTGCACCATGGCTCTCTGCAAATCTCCTGTTCCACAGCAGGGGGCTCAGCCACCCGTGTCATATGAACAGGCAGCAACCCAGACCCTGGGCTCCCCCAGGAGGCAAAGACAAGATGGTCTTGCCTCTGCTTTGAGTGTTGCCAGCCTGAGTGTGCCAGGGCTCAGGGAGGCGAGGCATGGAGGCTGGCATGAGCCTGCAAACCTCCATCACTCGGTTACACAGCAAATGATTGTACTGCACCTAGGCCTGTGTCTCTAGGCGCAGACAAAAGTCCCTGTGTTCGTGGGCTGACATTGTATTTCTAGCCGTGTGAGCCTGGACGAGTCATCTTGTCTCCCTGTGGGCCTCAGTTTCTCACCCATTAAACGGAGAGATGACCTCCGTTTAGAAACAAGAGTCACCAGGAGAAATCTCCAAAGGGGCAGAAGGTGTGCACAGAAGGACAAAAGCTACCAGTTCTTCTCTTATGAAGTCAAACAAGATAGAGAAGTGCCCGGGCACCTGTCTGGCCTGGCGGAGACCGAGCGCCAGGCTGCGTTTCCAGGAAATGTCCTGTGGGGAGGCGAGAGTGGAGGTGTGAGTCCCCATGGCCCCTTCGAGTTGGACAAACTCCTTCACCTTCTGAATTCAGCTTCCTGAGGTGAACAGAGCAACACGCTCTCCTCACAAGCAATGGTGCTGAGGGCACCCAGATGGACAGAGGGCTTGGCGTGCGCTCCCTGGAGGAGCCGGAAGAGACTCCTGAGAGCCGAGGGCTAAAGCAGTGGGGCAAACCTGGAAAGCGAGGCGTGTGGGGAGGCAGAAGGGAACGGAAGGGGGCAATTGTCTGAGAGGGAGAGGGAAGGGATCAGGGACAGGCTGTGGCGTGCTAGGGGCAGTTCCAGTCTCCCTCCCCCTCCCCCTCCTTGCCTCTCCTTCCCTCTACCCCTCCCTCCCCCCTCCCCCATTGTTTCCTGTTTCCTAGGCCAGCAAAAAGGAGCGCTTCCTCCAGGTGCAGTCCATGATGTACGACCTGATGGAGTGGCGGTCCCAGCTCCTCTCAGGAACTCTGCCCAAGGACGAGCTGAAGGAGCTGAAGCAGAAAGTCACATCCAAAATTGACTATGGCAACAAGTAACCTCTCTTTCCTCTGAAAAGATGTTTTCTCCCTCCTCCCTCCCCCTTCTTCTCTTTCTCCCTCCCCCCTCCTTCTCTCCTTTCCTCATTTATTAGGCATTGCCAAAGGCCGAAAAGCATACACCAGGCGCTAGGGATAAAACGAAAAATGTCAAGGGTCTCTGGCCTCACGGTGCTCACAGTCTGGTGGGGCAGACAGACATTGAGCAGAAGGTTGCATAGAGAATCGCTGTGATAGCAAGGCGGAGGAACTAGGGTGTGCTGCAGGGGTGGAGAACGGAGGGTCTAATTAAGCCACGGGGAGGGGGGAGGCATCCTGGAAGAGGTGGGCGTATGTGCGGCTCCAAAGGCAGTCGATGAGTTAGGAAGGTGAAGAGGGTGGCGGGGGAGAGCATGGCAAGTGCCAGGGCCCTGAGGCAGGAGGGCATGTGGCCTTCCTAGGGCCTAGATGCAGCGCCGCATGGTGGGCAGCAGCCAGGGGCAGGTGGCCCGAGACTGGACTGACTGGTCAGGGGCTCGATCTGGAGGGTGGCGAGAAGCCATGGAAGAGTTTAAGTAAGGAAGCGATGTGACCAGAGTCTCCAATTACAAGTGAGACTTGTGTTTTTCCCATAAGCACTCGGATGGGGTGTGAGACAGGCTGTGCAGAGGTCTCAGCTGGGATGAGCAGGGACAGAACATCCATATCACACACTAAAGAAAGTGTGGTGACCTTGAGGCTGGCCCTGCCAGGGGGGCTGACCAGCTGTCGGGGTGAGATGATGAGAGTTCAAATCCTTACTTGTAGGGAGAGTTGAGAAAATGCTCATGATGGTAGCACTGGGGACCCTGATAAATCTTTCCAGTGACCCTACGAGTAAGCATTAGTGTCACCTATTTCACAAGTGATGGGACTTGTCTGAGTAAGTGGAGAAACCGGATTCCTCGGTTTACCTAGTGCTAAGGTCTTTCTTAACAATAGCAGGAACCCAGCTTTGCTGCCCATGATCACGAATGTCAAGCCCTAGGCGCACAGTAGGTGCTCAACACATCCCAGTGGCTCTTGTCCCCCATCGTCCTCCCAGGCAATCAGCAGGTTTGCAGTTTGGCAGAGGGTGGACCTGGCCCTGGAAAAACCTGGAGCGGGACCCAGGTGCCTGCAGGCAGGGTTAGACCCCAAAGG